GGGGGTGGCGGCGGTGGGGCTGCTGCCGAAGCGAAGCCGTGCCGGCACTTGGGCCTCTTTCTCACGGACGTGGCCAGCCGGTGCCTGTCCTTTCTGACCGCAGCTCAGGCCTCACGCAGAGGGAGGACTTCTTCCCCCCCCCCCAATCGCTCCCTGGAAGCATTAAAAGCCTAACGTGCCAGGGAGAAACATGTTAGCCCCTTTATTCATTACAACCTGTCCTAAACCGCCTTTCAGCCTTACAGAGAGTGGGGCGGGGGGGGGGGCAAAAGAAAGGACTAATCCCCAGCACTACGAAGTAAAAAAAAAAAAGTGGGTTTTGTCCCTGCCCCACATATTTTCTATAAACGAAGAGCTTGCCAGAATCCTATTGTCTAGTTATGCCTGCATAAATTCTGGGCATGGTTGTAGAAATGCATGATGGAAACATGCTTTCAGGACTGTTAGGAGGGTCTGCTAAACAGAACTTCCCTGTTCAGGAATTTGCTCTGTCTCAGCTTCTGTAGATGGAGAACTTGGGAAAACTATTTGGTGCCATGTTCTCCTTATAAGCTTTCTTAGAGGACAGGCCTGCATGTTACTTGAAACAAATTGATTTCTGGTATGCACCATTTAGGCAGTTCTTACGATATTGAATGGAATCTTGCTGTGCCATATCCTCCCTAGTCTCAAAGAGATTCATTATTTCCTGTTCAGATATGTGTATTCAAAAACAGCTAACAAAACCCATTTTGTACTCTATTCTGTTCATGCTTACTCAAAAATAAGCTCCACTGATTTCAGTGTAGCTTAAATTTAGTTGATATTACAGTCGTATTATCATGCACCAGTGAAAAGAAAGCACACTTTCTGTCTGCTAGTTTTGCCCCCCCCCTTTTTTTAACTAATGTGCAGTCTTGGACAGGAAACAACTGCAGCACTTTTTTGTCTGAAAATCTTGGCAATTCAATTAAAGTCTCTGTATGTTTTTTGAATATATGTTATTTATCTGGTGGCTTCTAATGCAGTGGGTTGAAAGAAAGTCTGCAGTGCTGTTCTGGATCACTGCTCCAAATATTCATATTGATTGTCTTGGCAGAAACATTAGGATCCTATGGCAACTTACTTGGAATTTATCCAGCAAAATGAAGAGCGTGATGGAGTACGTTTCAGCTGGAACATATGGCCATCCAGCAGGTTGGAGGCCACAAGAATGGTTGTCCCATTGGCCTGCCTTCTGACTCCCTTGAAAGAACGACTGGATCTTCCACCTGTCCAGTATGAGCCAGTGTTATGTAGTAGACCAACTTGCAAAACTGTCCTCAATCCACTTTGGTATGAATTTGTTTAATGTTTTTTGTTTCATATAAATAAAGTAGCTGTGGTGTGTGGGTATCCTTTGATTTGATGGAGAGTAATTTGTGACCCAAGATACCGTATTTTCATCTAGTAAAGATAGCCCTAATTTGGGGTTTGCAACTAGAGTATTTGGGTAACAGAATGTTTCATATCTGAGTGTACCTAAATTGGAAGGGGGTGATTTTTAAAAATAATTTTGTTTAATGAATAAACAATATAAATACAGAGTCCAATAATAACTTGATTAATATTTAAATACAACCATGGTGGCCGTACAGTTAAAATCTAAACCAGTGATTTTTAACTTTTTCTTTACTATGGACCCTCTTTAAATACAAAACGCTAAAGTGCATCAAATATTTATTTGAAGTTTCCCATGAAGGGTCTTCAGATTTTCAGAGAAAGGAGAAATTACTTACTGTAATTTGTTAATGTACACACTCCTGTTATAATATTTTCATTTGAATGATTCCATATGCATGTAAAATAATAATAATAAAATTATCACATTGGCACTTATTGACTCAGATTGTATCTTCCCACGGCTTCTGACTATCTGCACAGGAGCAAGAAATATCATGCGCTGTCTCTAGGCCACTAAGTGTTGTTCACTTGCATGTTCTCACCGTGTGCAGAAATATCAAACAGTTATTTGTTATCAAATAGTTATTTCCCTGATTTTTACTTTTGTTTCTTTTTAATGGAGGCAGTAGGTTAGAAAAGCTTAACAAATAAGCAAGGGAAATTAAGTTTTTGATCTATGTTTCCTTTCCTTTCTTTCTCTCTCTCTCTCTTTCTATTTTAATTGCAAAAGATCATAATGTTTCTTCAAGTCTTTGCAGACACACTGTGAGGGATGTGTGGACCATAGGTTAAGAACCTAGGATCTAAACTGAATCAGGTGTGTGTGTGTGTGTGTGTGTGAGAGAGAGAGAGAGAGAGAGAACGAACTGGATCCAAAGCCTCACGTCAGCCATCATGTACAGCCATAGTTTATTGTAATAAGAAACAACTTACCTTCCCTCTGGGTAATAATACTCTTTGCCCTTACCCTTTGATTGGATCCTTGAAGAAATTAGATGAGTTTATTTATGTTTTTACTGGCCATTTTTTATCTGGTACAGCATAGTGTCGTCAGGCTCCTAACTGGAGCTGGATACGTGGAGTGTGTAACTCTCCTGTTACACTAACTTCACTGACTCCTGGTTCACTTTCAGGCCCAATTCAGAGTCTGGTTGTGATCTATAAACCTATATGGCTTGCGTCCAGGCAGTCTGAAAGATTGTATCTCCTTGTGTGAACCCCCCACAAGTATTATGATCATCAAGGGAGGTCCTTATCATGGTCCCATCCACCTTCACAGGATCATCTGGTGAGGTTTCTTCAGTGGCTGCTCCCACACTATGGAATGTTCTTATGCCAGCAGGCAAAAATATTTCTTTTAAAGCAGACATTTGGCATCTAAATATGTTATGCTATGGTGGGTGGTAATTGTAGTTTTTTTATGTATATAATGCTTTAATAACTTTTAGTTCTTGCACACTTAATCACTTTTAAAATATTTATGTACTATATTTTATATTAAGAATGTTGTAAACTACTTTGATTTCCTTACATATTAAAAATGTTGCTGTATTATTATATAAATGGATTAAAAATTAATATAAGGAAACTCATCTAGTAGTTTCTGCAGTTGTCTGGAAAGATTAACTGACCTGAAGTAAGGTAGAAGTGCAATATTTGCCCATGGCCTGATAAAAATAACTTTTCTGGATGTACCTTTGCGTAATCAAAAATATTTGTGCCTAATGCTGTTAGAGACATTAAGGGGGGGAATTGAAGTTGGCTTTTATGAAATATTACTAATAGAAGTAACTTTCTTAATGGCATTCATTTACTTGGAGGACATCTCTCATATCTTCATTACCAATTCTTTGGAAGAAAAATGGAGTGTTGGTGCTTCTGTTTGGTTCAAATGAAGATGCTGATGTTTCAAAATTTGATTTTAGCAGCCATCATATATTCCTTTCTTACAGCCAAGTTGATTATCGAGCCAAGCTTTGGGCCTGCAACTTCTGCTTTCAGCGAAACCAGGTCAGTGCAAAGACAACTATGTTGTGTTTTCAGTAATTATTCTTTAAAAGCCCCTTGTGTTGAAGTGATTCTACTAGCTGTGCCTTGTGTGCCCATGTTATATACTGTAGTAATGTGAATACACTAACATGCAACTGTTCCCAGTGGAATTTGATTAGGGAAATTGCCAAAACAGAAGTGAAAGATTGCTAATGTAACCATTTCAAAGTGCCATCTGTATTTGTGCTTTTTGTGCCATCATGCTTTTAGTTCTCATTATGAGGAAGCCTATCGTGTGTTAAACTTACTGGTCAGGCAGCTTTGGCTTAACTGAGACATCATGCTTTGTTAGTCATAATTTGGAACCCCAACTGTGGCTTGAATTGTAAAATATGCAGTAGGCAAACCATGATTATTGGTTGCTTGTTTACTTTCATATTAGGTCTACTTAGAACTTTGTCCTATAGATAAATTATTAATTTTATTTATTACATTTAAAATATTTATATCCTGGATCCCCAAGAGGCTCCAAGGCAGCATACAGTATTAAAACAAACACTATAAAACTGCAAGCATTGTTCTTTTTTGAAAGAGTGTTAACTGTTCCTGTGGTTTGTTAGGTCATACATTGTGCCAAACCAGAGTTTGCTCAAGCCGTGATTTGTAAATAAGTTTCAAATCATGGTGTCTGTTTCTGGTTTGTTGATCAGCTGCAAACTACTGCTTGGCAAAGAAGTATACTGCCAAACTATACTTCATTTTTCCTGGCTATAGTTCAATATGATAACTGAATTGAATCTGTGCATAATATGTGACGTAATACTTGAATTGGTTTGCAGATCCTGTAACCTGACTTTGTGTTTAGTCATAAATTATACCCTCAAAATGGTAGGGTATCATATTTAGTGAAAAGTGAAATTAACATGCAGTTCTTTTATTGAAATAAAAATGTTTGTCTATGTTGCATAAGAAAGAAATGTTGGTATCTTTCAAAACGTGTTTTAATTCTTGGGTGCTTACTTAGTTTCCACCAGCATATGCAGGCATATCTGAAGTGAATCAACCAGCAGAGCTTATGCCACAGTTTTCCACGATTGAATATATTGTCCAGGTAATCCTTTGTATGTCATATTTGAAACTTTGCTTTACTATACAGTACTTTGTTTTATATCTCTGTGACAATATTCGTAAAGTATATGGGGAAGGTTATTTTGTACTATTTTCTATGGTAAACTTTTTTCCCCTGTCTTTCACACAAGCGTGGTCCTCAGACACCCCTGATTTTCCTTTATGTGGTGGACACATGTTTGGAGGAAGAAGACTTGCAGGCCTTGAAGGAGTCTCTGCAGATGTCTCTGAGTTTGCTGCCTCCTGATGCTCTTGTAGGATTGATTACCTTTGGCCGAATGGTCCAGGTTCATGAACTGAGTTGTGAAGGAATTTCCAAAAGTTACGTTTTCAGGGGCACTAAGGATCTAACTGCAAAACAAATACAGGTAACTTGTGTGCCTTTGATGAAATGTTTACTTGCCTTTCAAAATTATTTCAAGGTAGGCATCTCTAATTTTTGTTATGTTTCTTGATTGTTAGGATATGTTGGGCCTTACAAGGCCTGCTGCACCTCAACAAGGAAGACCTCACCAGCCTCAAGAACAGCCTTCCATTTCAAGCAGGTGCATAGCTCTGCAAAGCAAACTGAGTTTAAAATTATGGGATTAGCTGGGTTGCATGAAACATCTAAAACAATCTGTAACAGATTTTCCAGAGGAGACACTTTGTTATAAATTGAATGTTTCCATTTTTGCCTTTTTGAAGCTGTTTTTTAAAATGTATTTTTGGACTGCTAATCTAGACAACTTTCTCTACGGATGTTATCCTGTTGCTTAGCGTAGTAAATCATAGTAGATGAGGTAATTGAATCAATGGGGATTTGGAGAGTTGACTTCTCCATAAATCCCAGAGAAGATTAAAATCTGAAATCAGATTAAAATGGAACAAACAATTAAGCAATTAGAACACGTGAATTAATTTCAAATTATGATCTGATTTGTATTGATGCAGTACTCAGCAGTTGATTCAGTACTTTTACTCTGACTGAAAACAGCAGTTGGGTTTAAACCATGAACTCCCAATTTCCTCCAGGGGTGGCATTTTATTTTGTTTTGTGTTCTCTTGGTACATACATAAGAAATAGATCCCCAGCTGTTTTTCAGTGATTAACAGATATGTCATGTAAGCTTTAGGTAGGTATTAGCTACCTTGGGTCCCTTCTTGGGAGAAAGGTAAGATAGGAATAAAGTAAGAAAATTAAATGAATAGGTGTGCCAAAGTGATCTTATAAGTCCTGTCTGTATCAGTGTGATTAACTATAATTAGAGTTTGCCCAACTTGAGTTGCCTTGCTCCTCCTTATATTTAATGAACAAAATAAGCAATCTGAAATGTTTACATATCAAATTCATTCTCTAAGGCATGAAGTATTGCTTACATTTATTTTTAACTTCTGTAGGTTTCTACAGCCTGTTCACAAAATTGACATGAATCTGACTGATCTCCTGGGGGAACTCCAAAGAGACCCATGGCCTGTCACTCAAGGAAAGAGACCCTTGCGATCCACTGGAGTAGCTTTGTCAATTGCTGTTGGGTTATTGGAGGTAAAGTTGCTTTCAGTAACAGTTTTATGGTGACCTAAGTTAACCCAGTGCATTTACTGTCAAAAAGGCATATGTTTTAGTTAATCCTGTATCTTAAGAAACCTATATTGCTGGATATGCAGGACTTTATGATGATGATGATGAATAACAACAACAATAACAATAAAAGACATGCAGTATCACTTACCATTGTTTTGGAAATGAGATACAATATCTCGGTATTAGTGTTAGCGAATGAAAATTAAATATGTACTAGTATTATCTTTTTTAAAAGACAGTTTGGAATTGCAGTATTTGTATATGTCATGCCTTCTCCTTCATTTTAAGTTAAGACTAGTTGGGTGATAATACAGTGTGAGCAGTTCTTTCCTGGTGTTCAAGACATGCTTCATGCATGAAGTTTTGCAGCAGGCCAGAATGGGCCTCCCATTTTTTTCTTAACTAAGTAATTGATGTTCCTGGTGGGATGTGTGTAGTCAACCAGATATGCATTTGCCCCTGCAATATTTCACAGGAATTGATTTGATTGTTATATGTGCATTCTTCCCACCTCCAAGGGAACATTTCCAAACACTGGGGCCAGAATAATGTTGTTCACAGGAGGTCCACCAACTCAAGGGCCAGGCATGGTGGTAGGAGATGAACTAAAAACTCCAATCCGTTCTTGGCATGATATAGAGAAGGACAATGCACGGTTCATGAAGAAAGCTATGAAGGTAGGTCTCCACTTTAAACTTTTCAGTGTAAGATAAATAATGTCTTTTCCAAATTCTGCTGATTATCGGTTTCCCTCCAAAGCACATAGGTCTTCGAAAGCAGTTACAACATAGCATTTTTCTGGAGTCAAGCAGTTTAGGTCAATACATCTTTCTCTCTAAATAAAATTTTAAATTTTTATTTTGATGCAGTGACTATCTTTCTTTTGATGAAGTGACTGAAGACAGCTAGTGTATATAATCACTGAAAACTTTGCATAAGTTTATTGTACCTGTTGCTGTGTATTGCAGCTTTCATTGCTCTTTTTCATCCCACCACAGTTTTTTTGCTTAATCTGCATAGATTTTATTCCTGCCTCAGAGTATCACAAACCCTGGTGCTATGGGGTATACAGTTGCTTTAATAAACAGGTAATATTGGGATAGCCAACCTCCAGATGTATTCCTTATTAGGCAGCTGATACGAGTATTCCTAATCTCTTCTGGGTGTTGCCTACCTATTGAGCTCCAAGGAACTTTATACTTCTGGTAGTATCTGATAGCAGAAGTTGCATGTCCTCAGCATTCATTTCCCCTTCAGTTTGTCCTGCACGTCTGTGTTGTTGAGGTATCCAAAGTGTGAGATCTGCAGTGTCTGATAGGCTGCTTCAAATAAGCATTTGAAACCCTTTTCCCTCTGTGGAGCTGAAATATTCACAGATGTTGCAGAGTGCCACAAATGCTTTGCTAAACCTGTCTAGTTCCCAGATTGTCTCCTGGCACATGCTGTGCTTAAGAGTTCCTTAGCTTTCAGCAAGATTGCTGTATCATTCCGTGATACCATGTTTTTGAACTGTAATAATCTTCAAAATGTCTTCCAATTGTTTTGCTTATTTTCGCACAGCATTATGAGACCTTGGCTAATCGTACAGCTGCCAATGGACACTGTATTGATATTTATGCCTGTGCTCTTGATCAGACTGGTCTGCTGGAGATGAAATGTTGCGCAAATCTAACTGGGTAGGTTGTTGGTCCTCATCAGACTTCCCTCTTTGGTTTTCATGGTTTAGAAGAAATAGGTTTCTTGATCAGTGTGAAACTCATAAGCTGAAGTGTATTGAAATTTATTGATCTAGTTAACAGATATCACAGTTAAACCCCCCTCCCCAATTTAATCAGCCGGTAAATCAAGACTTACATAATTTCCATTGATTCAGTTGGTCTGCTTTAGTTGGAACTAGCAATTGGATTTTAATCAAAGAAATTGAGTATGTCATAAAATGTTAAAATGCAGTGCAAAACAAATCTCAGTAGAATAAAGTCAATGTAATTATAATTAGATCAAGTTGAGTTCCTCTTTGAAAAATTTGTCTGTATTCTCTGTAATAAGACTCCTTTGTGTCAGAGGAAATAAAAGAGACAATGATCAGGTGGTCTTCTGATATAAATGTTCTGGATGTAAGATAATCAATGGATTAAATGGCTCATTACAAAGATCATTATAGAAGTTACAGAAGAGAAAAAACAGGCTGAGAATTTTCAATTTCCTGCTAACCATGAGGGCATCATTTCTTATAATAGAAAGCTTCCATGACCTGCCTATTTGTCTCTGGTCTACAACGGTGAGGGGAAGGGCACTATATAGACTATTTTTCTATGTACTGTACAATAACAATTGCTTTTTGAATCACTTATTGTTAACCCACATTGCAGGGCAGTCCTTGATATGAGTGAGAAATTCAAGCATTTCATATACTGAGTTAATTATAAACTCACTTGGTGTTCTTCCCTTCACATTAGTTAGTTGCCTTAGCTGTCAGTGGAAACATTTTTAGACTAGACTCCCCTAGAATTCAGAGTAAAGGGGGGAAAGGTAGTGTTTCTACATTCTGTAACTCTGTCTCAATATTTTGCTGTGCCACTTTATTTTTTCAGGGGTCACATGGTGATGGGGGACTCCTTCAACACTTCTCTTTTCAAGCAGACTTTTCAGAGAGTGTTCAGTAAAGATCACAGCGGGGAATTCCGAATGGCTTTTGGTGCCACTTTAGAAGTGAAGGTCAGTGTGACAAGCACTGAAACGGAGGGGCAGATGCTACTTTCTTAATTGGAAAGAAAGTGTAACATATACCAATGTTTGTAGTTGCCAGTTTATAAGAGAGTTTCATATTCTTTTAAGACCCTTTACTTTCCTCCTCTCAATGGGATGGAGTTCATCCTTTCTACCTGATACCTAGTAACAGCCCTTCTTAATAGGAAAGCTCAATTTTAAGAAGAAGCTAACCACGAAGTGACAGTAGCTGAACATTTCATGGTTTCTGCTTTTTTTTTTCTTTTTTTTTGAAATCTCAATCATATGATGAGGAATCTTGGAAGGATTTGTCAGGCTGTTATCACTGTAGCTGCTATAGGAATACAGTGGGATTCAGTAAACAATAGCTACTGATTTTGATTTATTCTGAAATTCTTTTGACTTTAGACTTCCAGAGAGCTGAAGATTGCTGGAGCTATTGGACCATGTGTATCCCTGAATGCCAAAGGGCCATGTGTTTCTGAAAATGTAAGTTTTGTGTAGGAGATATTGGGTAGTGGTGGTGATGGGAAATGCTGACATAAACAGGAAAAAAAATAGGAGTTCTGTGGAATTATGTTGCTCAGTTTCCTGGGGATGTATATATAGATAGAGATAGAGATATATAGTAAAGTGCAGTCGTTGTAGAGACCTGGGGGAGAGATGCTTAACATCATTGTCTTCTTAGATCTTTCTTTTTGCTGCTACTGCTGTGATGGGACATCAGAGTAGGCAGCCATGAGAATAGATCTTGCCCTGAACAAGGAAGATTCACATGTAACTGCTGAGTAGGTTCTGTGCAGCCATTTCTGGAGGTCTGGCTATTTCTGTCTGTTGCCACATTTCACTGTCAGGCCCAAAGGTTGTTGCCACTTGGATTGCTGTTCTAGGAAAGAACGAGGGTGCAGTTGATACCTTTGTTTTTCCCTGAGATTTATAGGTCCTCTCGTTAGGGCCTTGGATGAGAGAACAAAGGAGTAAAATCTAGTTTTTGCTGGCATCCAAGCTTTAGTTTAGGGGCTAGTTCATTAGCGAACTGTGAATCTGCAAGACCAAAGCAATGTTATATAAACCACATCCTGTAGCTATAGTTAAATGGATTTCACTGGCTAAGGCTTGAGACTAAACTGAAATGTTTTTGGACTTTTTCACAGGAACTTGGAATTGGTGGCACATGTCAGTGGAAAGTCTGTAGTCTTGATCCCACCATGACTCTTGCCATTTATTTTGAAGTCGTAAATCAGGTGAGTCGGCCTCTTCCATTTCTCAGCATTTCTCTGATGTCCCAAGGCTGTATATGTATTTTGAGTTGTTTTTAGATATGAACTGCAGCTGCCATCTAGGTGTTATAGGTGTTGTTTTGTAGAACATCTTCTCAGAGAATCATAGTTAGAAAATATGGGTCCTGCAATATTACTTTACTGTAATAAAGTAATATTGCTGTATTCTTCTTTTCCTTGACCTTTATCCCCCCCCACCCTTCCTCACTTTTCCTGCTTTTTCTTATGGTGTACTTGTTCAGACTTCACTCAGGTTGTAACCCTAAGCACACCAGCAGTAAGAGCTTTACTTCAGGCAAATAATGTTAAGATTGTACTGTTATTCTTTTATTTTTATTACTTTTGGGCATTGCAGATCAGAATTTGCATGTCACGGTAGTACAGTGGTGCCTCGCTTAACGGGCGCTCCATTTATTGATGAAATCGCTTAGCGACTACTTTTTTGGAGCGTTTTTGCACTTCGTTTAATGATGGTCCCTATGGTTGATTTTCGCTTAGCGATGGTTGGGACCATGCTTCGCATAGTGATTAAATTTTGGGTCCCCTGTTTCGCTTAACGATGGTTTAAAAAGCCTCATGTTTGCTGTTTTTTAAATGTTTTTCTGTTATTTATAAAATTAATGTTTACTGTTTAAAATGTTTGAAATCATAAAGTGCACTTAATAAACCCTTTGTTAACCAAATTTGACTTTGTTCTGACTCTTTTTTAATTTGTTGTTGTATTTTTCCCCCATTGAGATGCATTGAATAGGTTTCAATGCATTTCAATTGGGGAACTGCGTTTCACTTAGCGATATTTCCTATGGCGATTTTCGCTTAAGGATGGCAATTCGTTCCTATTGGAACGGATTATCCGGTTTTCAGTGCATTCCAATGGGAAACCGCGTTTCGCTTAGCGATGAAATCGCTTAGCAGCGATTTTTTCGGAACGAATTAACATTGCTAAGCGAGGCACCACTGTACAAAGAATCCAGTTTGTTAACTGTTGACTTCAATCGTACTATGCTGCTTTTATTTTGTTTCTGTTCACTAACTACCTTTCAAATGTAGTTTGTTTTGTCAATGAAACTTTTCTCTATCTGGTTTTCAGCACAATGCACCAATACCTCAGGGTGGCAGAGGAGCTGTCCAGTTTGTTACACATTATCAGCATTCCAGTACACAGAGACGTATTCGTGTTACTACAGTTGCTAGAAAGTGAGAACTACTTGTGATAAGTAGCTGTGTTCTGGTGACTTTGGGCTTATGCTGTAAATAATTGTGTTGCTGTTTCACAAAATGTGCATGAGCTTCAGCGGGGATTTGGGAGAGAGTTCTATGTGGTTTTTAATATTTAAAGATGTGGATGTACTAACTGTTGCTTTTATTAGCTGGGCAGATGCCCAGAGTCAGCTGCAACACATAGAAGCTGCATTTGACCAAGAAGCAGCTGCTGTCCTGATGGCCCGACTGGGTGTCTACAGAGCTGAATCAGAAGAGGGGCCAGATGTCTTGCGATGGCTGGATAGGCAGCTAATCAGATTAGTGAGTATGATTAGCTGAAAGCCCATGTAATCTTAGGACTTGATGGATTGGAATGCCTGTGTATATATTCCTGTAGTTCTGAACCCTTTCTTAGTGTTGGAAAATGTTGAACTTCAATGTTTAATGCCTAATAGTTTGAAACAATGCTTGAACAGTCTATTTCCTACCTATGGGGTAAATCTGAAGCATTTGACTCTTGTCGGATATAAAACTCAATGCCTAAATTTAGCTTAACAAAGTATAGACTGAGAGGTGGGTGATGATGTGAAATGCACACTACAGGCCTGCCTATCTGTCCTCTGTTTAAACCAAAATTGGCAAGTAAATATGTTGCCATCTCCCCTGTCCCAGTCCATCAGCTACAACTAGAGATTTGATTTTCTGTGCCTATTCAAAAAAACCAAAAACCCCAGGAGCAAATATCCAAACCCCAAGCTCACAGCTCCCCTAAAGTCACAGCAGAAATCAGTATTCAACAGTAGATAATTAAAGCAGGATTGGAGTTAACATCAGGAATCTCCCATACAAAGGCACATGGAAACAAAACCTGTGAAGATGAAGTTTGTGTTTTAAATTAATAATTTAAAAAATCATCCGAAATGTAAAGAATAAAATAGTAAGCAAGATTGGAAGAGCAATTGGGGAATTTTTTTGAGAATAGAAACAGGACAGAATAAGGAGCCTAGCTTGCACAAAGCAATGGGCTTCATAAACCAGTAGTCAGGATATATAGAATATATAGAGCACATCACATGAAACTATCCAACAGAGTAACAGGACAACATAAGGGGAATGAGCACATTTTAAAAAAGACACTTGTCTGCTTTTAGATAAATGACCCTTGGTAACACACATGTAGTTCAGGAACTGGTCACAAATTACAGAGTACAGTGGTGCCTCGGTTGACGAGGATAATCCGTTTGAGCAAAATCGCTGTAGAGCGAAATCCTCGTCAAGCGAAATAAAAAAGCCCATTGAAACACATTGAAAACCGCTCAATGCGTTCCAATGGGCTAAATACCTCAACGTCCAGCGAAGATCCTCCATAGGGCTGCCATTTTCCGATGCCTGTGCTAAATTACAGAGTACAGTGGTGCCTCGCTTGACGAGGGTAATCCGTTTGAGCAAAATCGCTGTAGAGCGAAATCCTCGTCAAGCGAAATCAAAAAGCCCATTGAAACACATTGAAAACCGCTCAATGCGTTCCAATGGGCTAAATACCTCAACGTCCAGCGAAGATCCTCCATAGGGCTGCCATTTTCCGATGCCTGTGCAGTGAAAAATCTGTCCTAAAGCACAGCGGGGAGCCATTTTACACAGTGGGCGGCCATTTTGAAACCCAATGAAACCCATCTCGTCATAATGCGAAGAATCAGTTTCCGAAGCAGGGAACCAATCGTCGGGAAGTGAATTTTGCCCAGTAAAATATCGTCAAGTGGATTCGTCGTTTAACGAGGTAATTGTTAAGCGAGGCACCACTGTACTTTCTAAATCTCAGGCATATGTGCTAGTTCTTACAGGAATGTCAGCTGTAGTAACTTTTCCATGTAGTAGGCCTGTCAATTAACCCTGGCCAACCAAAGTAGTACATAAGCAGGTACACTCATTTGACACGGTTTCCTAAACTCTTATAGTGGTGATTAGGCTAAACCATCCTTCTTAAGGTGAAAGAACAAGGGCAATTCTTCCCACTCAGGTTACTTGAAAAGTGAAATCAAATGCTTCTGATTTGCCTCTCATAGCCACTCAGGATGAGGGAGGGATGGGCATTGAGGCCCAGGGCTCATTCTTGTAATATTAAACAGGAGTCCAGCCTTGCATCTATAAACACCTGTTGAAACAAAACAGTTATTTTGTCAGAGGTCTGATTGGAGCTGTGGAAGTCTTTATACTGTATGTACTCATCCAAAGTTGTCGTTTTTAAGTGTTTCTGGGAAATAACCTCATCACTATGGCCTGTCATTACAAAAAATTAACATCTCAGATTCAAAAATAAGAATCTTCCTCAGATTCTGTGTTATTATTTTCAGTTGAACTGTGTTTTTCCTTCAAATTAACCAATATAGTTTGGTTCAAATATGGCATTAAAATGTCACTTGGTGGTGAGAATTACCCTTGTCCCTGCTCTTTCTTTTAAGATGTTTTCTCCTTCACTTTCTGATTCTTACAAAGCATAGTTTTCTGTTGCATATTTATTTTCCTGATTATTGTATTCCATTTATATTCCACCTTTTCAAAAAAAAATCCAGGACTGCTAAACAGTAGAGTTTATATAAAATATACAATCTGACTCTCACACCTCGTGAAAGAATAAAACTGTGGCCATTTAAAACTAACATGACAGTACAGGAGCACAGCAACAAATAAAATGAATGTGCTGGATGGACCAAAAGTCTGTCAAAATGAGTTTTTAAAAATCAGTTTCATCTGTGAAATGGGAGGTCACCAGATTGGTTAGCCCCTTGGCTCTAAACCATAATTTAAAACTATGGTTTGGAGGGAAGTTCCAACCTTAACAAAGGCTAGTGCTGTCCAGAAATACAAAGCAGATAGTGCTGCAGTCATTGGGTTGAAATCTTTGGATGTAAGACAGGAGAGAAAAGAAATAAATGGTCTGGTGTTATCTAGAATCTTCTACATTATATAAAATACTTAAAATCCTTTGGATTGAGCTTCAACAATATGAGAAGCAAACCATTATTTTGAGTTGCTTCTCTCCTTTTGTTTTTCATTTCTTCTTCACTACATTTATAGGTAATGCAATTAACATGATAGTTTATTGTATTTAGTAATTTCTCTCTTAGTAATTTTGAAACTAGCCTCATTTATTTAGTGTATCTATTTATGTGACAAATTTTATTTTGCTTATGTCTTTTTCAATTTCTTGATAACATCATTACAAGTGATCCATTTTTTTGTCTTTATTATTTTATGAGATGTTGCTTTAAAATAATTAAACGATTACTGAGCTTTACCTATTACCCCAACAGTGTCAGAAGTTTGGACAGTACAACAAGGATGATCCAAATTCTTTTAGATTGTCTGATTCATTTTCCCTGTATCCTCAGGTAAGAATTTGTTTGAAATGTTAATAGTTTATTATAGGCGGAATATCAGTGGGGTTCCCAAGCATATATATGATTAACGGACAAATGCAACAGTAAATGTATTCTTGAAGTGAATCTTTTTGTATTTTTTGTTCAGTGAGTGTAAGCTTTTCTTATTGCATGTCAGCTTTTTTCATTGCGTGTCAGTGCGTGTCAGCTTTTCTTATTGGTTCTCTGAATCAAGTCAGCAAAGTGCCACACAAACAAAAAGGAAGAAAACGGAGAGGGAGGCAGAACACTGTAGTGATCTCTCTGCTCTTTCCTGTATCCCTTATAGTTCATGTTCCATCTACGTCGATCTCCATTCCTCCAAGTATTCAATAACAGTCCAGATGAATCTTCGTATTACCGCCATCACTTTGCAAGACAGGACCTGACCCAGTCTCTCATCATGATTCAGCCTATACTTTATTCCTATTCATTCTATGGGCCACCTGAGGTAATTCACTTTGTTTTAAGGCTATCTTTACTAAATGTTTCTGTAAATAGTTCTCTAATCAGTTTTGGAATGATCTTACACTGGGGGGAAAATAACAAATTCTGGAATATTAAAAATATAGGGTAAGATTCCCCTTTCCCTGTCATGCTTTGGTGAAATTTTGGTTATCCCGAATGAGAAGAAATATATCTATAATTCTGAAAAAAAAACTTCTTTATAGTCAGTTTTTACAGGTGGGGAAAAACTTGAGAAGAAATTTTTATTGGGAGGTTCTGTCTCCTCAGAGTTCCTAATGGTCTGCTATTAAATATGCCAAATCTTATTTGAGTAGAAGACAAAACATAGGAAGAAGCTATTCATATATCACTAACAATAAAAGCAGGATATTAAAAATACTTCATTAATCATAGCTGTCCTCCAGGATAGGCCATTGCTTGAAACTGGAAAGTTCTCCTCCTCCTCCTCCTTTTTATACATGTACCAGCCCATTTTCTATTTAGTCTTCTAGTTGTTTTAAAACAATTGAGGCTAAAATGCACCGTGATATATTTTCTCCCCCCCCCCCTTTTTGTGTGTCTGTGTGTGGAGTGGGAGGCAGTTCTCTTGAACAGCCATTAAGTCTTTCCCCTTTGGCTTTTTCTAGCCTGTACTTTTGGATAGCAGCAGCATTCTTCCTGACAGGATACTACTGATGGATACCTTTTTCCAGATTGTTATCTACCTTGGTGAGGTAAGGTACAAATAACCTTTTGCCCAAGCTGACCTCTGCCTGAGTTGTGTGACAAGGAAATCTTTGAAATAAAACTTGTGTGGTTTGGTGTCCTTAGTATGTGCCATATTCTGAATTCTGGAGCCCATGTAAGCATGGAAAGATGGTAGTTTAGAGATCATTAAGAATAATACATAGCCTACTCAGTTAGCCTACTTTATTGAGGATTAGCATCTAGCCCTGGAAGTAGACGGGATATAAAAGCAAGAAGAAGAAAAATGATTCATTTGATGAAGGAACTAGAAGATATCTTCAAGTGTAAGGATATGTCACCAGAGATGAAGGTCAAGATTATCCATGCTGTCATATTCCCTATTAGTAGATACAGATGTGAAAGCTGACAAGAAAAAGATTATTTGAAAGATAGTGTTGGAGGAGAGCTTTACAAACATGGATGGGAAGAAGATTGACGAAGTTTGAGGAATATAGAAAAAAGAAAAAGGAAATAACAATAAATAGAATATATAAATAGCAATATGTAAATAGAATATATAAATTATTGGTAAAAGCAGAATACAAAAGGTAAAAGACTTGTGGCAAGAGGATTTGAGTGAAGAAATAAAAGGGAAAGATTTGAACAAAATATGGAATAAAAGAATGAGGAACATGTCAGTGAGAATAAAAGAAAACTGTTACAAGGTAATTTAGAAATGGTATTTTACACCTGTTAAATATAATAAATAAAACTTAATCACATCTATGCTGGAGGTGTAAGAAAGAGAAAGGAACATACATGCATATGTAGTTGTCTTGCAAAAAAAGAAGGAAAGTTTGGTTTTTGATGTAGTAAGAGACATAATGGGAGTGGAGATGGAATATGGAATCCAGTTCTCGAACATGTGCCGACTAAAGGGAAGAGATATATGCCAAAAGAAGAATCAGTACATTTCTGGAGAGACACAGGATGGCATGAACTGTAAAATTAAAGTGTTGGAACCTAGTCCCAAAGGGGCACTGGGTTGAGGGAAAATATAATGAGTGAGACTGTATAAGGATAATGAATCTAAGGAGTGTATAGTAGTGTATGTTTGAATTTTGTCTTTTTGGGGTTTCTTAAAATATTAAAATTTTGAAATTCAAAAAACCCAATTAGGGATGGGGTTTTCATATTTCTTGGACTACAAATCCAGTCATTCTCTATTTTAGGAGTTCCACCTGAGAGACACCTTACAGACACCTACATGCAATTTACCTGGGAGTAGAGCCTCAACTGGAAGGTTTTGAGGCTTAGCTAGGACTAGCTTCACCCAAGTTTCCAGTTCTTGCCCCAGTGCCATTTTGGAGTTTCCTAGGCCTGTCTAAGCTTCAAAACCTTCCATGGAATAATTCACTTGGCTACAACGCTTCTTGCGAGATCTGTGCACTTACTTAGATGAAGTTTTAATATAATAATACAAATCAGAAATAGAATAAGTAGTAAAAGCTAAGCCATGTCTGTCATTGCCTCATGATAAAAATGGAATTGACTGGAAATCAAGGGAAGGCTGAGAATAATAAAATGTGGAAAACTTTTATTAATTCCTCATTTCCCCCCCTCTTTTTAACATTAAGACTATTGCACAGTGGCGTAAAGCTGGCTATCAAGATATGCCTGAGTATGAAAACTTCAAGCATTTACTACAGGCTCCACTGGATGATGCTCAAGAAATTTTGCAGACCAGATTTCCAATGCCACGTTATATTAACACAGAGCATGGGGGCAGTCAGGTAAGGCACAGATTTACAAAGCAAGGTGTGTTAATAAACTCAACAAAACTATCTCAGTATAGGCTTTTTATTGTTTCCATGTCATAATTTGGAGTATGAATATATTTTGCTGTCTTTTTGGTTATACTTTTCTGTAGAGGATTAAAGTGTGTCCTAAAATTGTATATAGAATATCTAGTATATTTTGTATTTGAATTAAAAACTAGTCTGGTTGTTGCCCAAGGCACCATATTGATGTCAGCCTGTGGAGGCTAAAAGAACTGATGTGTTTTTATATATTGAACCACTTTGAATTAAATTTTGTTGATATGTCATTTCTGGATTGTTTCATAAGGGTTTATGCACTCAGTGGCCAAAATTCTCTTGCTTTGTGTAGTAAACCACACAAGAGTTGAAGCAATAAGGATTTACTGAGTTAACTCTTCCATACGTTTTGTGGTTTCAAATGGGTCTACTCTTCCTGCCACTTGCTATGCTAAAGTAAGTCACAACTAGAGTAGGCCCACTTGAACCTGTGGAATATACAGAGGAGTTGATTCACCAGTCTCTAGTGAGTCAATAGATCTACTCTAGTGTAGTTTATATTTGGAATTTTGGTTAAAAATGTGTTTTTTAGGAATTTGGTTATTTATTTAGTCAGCAGAGTATGAGGCAGAAAGGAAAAAAAGCAACAAAGAAACATGGAGAGATCAGCCTAGTCTCACCAAACACTACCCCTGGTTTGCAGACAAAATTAGCACTTTGTATGGTTTTTAAAAAGTCACTCTAGATGCATTTAAAGGGTCTCTTTACTGTCAGTTACCATCTGTAGTTAGTCAGAGGAAACAAAAGTTACAAATGTAGTCTCCAGCATGCAGGAGCCACTGATTCCTTGCTGCTTGGAGAATGGAAGGAGGGAGACTATCAATAAAACAGTGGAACCAAATTAAACAGGAAGAGGAGGAGGAGAAGGCTTGCCTCAAGTGCCAGAACCAGGAAACACTTCACCAGCCATTTGGTAAAGAATAGATACAGTAGACTGTAAAGCACCCTCTCACTGATAACCCAGTATCGGTGCATGTGGGATTGCTATTATCCCAAAAGTTTACTACCCTAAGCAACTGGAATTTGGCCTTTGGTTCATACCATATTCTCCTGTTGCTCCTTTGACTTTAGAGTGGTGCTTTAAATAGATTAGTCTATTAGACTTGCCCAGCACTACCCAGTATACGTCTGAGCAAGAACATGTTTTTTCTGCTTCTGAATTAGAACCATTGTATCACAATGGTGCCTGGCACTAAATAATGCAATACATTCATTTATTGCTTTAGAAAATTTATATATCTTCATTCAATACCAGCTTTTATATTCCTGTACTCTTGAAATTAAAGCTTTGTTAGGAACTTTAATATCTAAGCATTAGGGTTTGTTTTAGGCTAGTATCCTGCTGTCTTTTAAAGTTTTTATTAAGATACACATTTCTGAGGCTCCTCTTCTGCTTAATACTGTATAGTTTATTATTCATTTAATAAAATATTTAATTGATATTTAATACATTAAAACAATATTAAAACAAACAGCATAAAAACTGGGAGTGAGACAAAAACAAAACAGGCCCCCTCTAAGACAGCCAATTACTAAGGAAAAGCCTGCCTTTGCCTGCTTGTGCAAGGAAAGCAAAGAGAAGGCCAGCCTGACCTCCCATAGGACGGAGTTGCCCAGCTTGGGAGCAGCAATATACATATTCTGAATGGTACCTGTAAAAAGACAGTTGTAGTGAGAGGAGAGTTACGTGGTTCCTGTAATTAACTCTGACAATCTGGTGTACAGTAAATATATTAGCAAGAAACACAAAGCAAAAAGCAAAGGGAAGAAGAAGTAGTAGGTATGGCACCTTAAAGACTAACTGCTATATTTTAATGTGAACTTTCATGGAACTAGCCAACTTCTTCATACATAAAAGTGAAAATATGAGCCCCGTAGCTAGCAAATCATATATTATAAAAACATAGCACCAACACAGCAGGTGTACAGTTATACATACAAACAGTACGTCAACCAGAGAATACCATTTTTGGACATCCAAAACCACAGATTAGTTAATTAAGATGTTGCTTTCCCCATGGCCTTCCCAGTGCAAAGGCCTTCTGGAATTGGAAGTTTACCTGAAAATAAACTACTTTGGGTGTGCTGCTTGGGGTAAGAAATTCTACAGCAAAGAGATCTTTGGGCTGGAATAGGTTCTTTCCCTTGTCATTAGGGTGGAGCCTTTTTCCTTGGAAATCTGCTAGTAGGCTTATTAAGATGTAAAGTATCAGAAAAGTGTTTATTAATACCAGCAATCAATATATACACATGCTAAGGTGTCAGTATAGACGTCCAAAGATTTAGAATGCATAGGATAGTTTTCATAGATGGTTATATAATAAAGCACCATAAATAATCAAAACTGATATTCCTTTCAAGTTTTCTTTTTCATGTTTCAGAAGTAACTTATTCAGAGGAAGTCTCTCAGATTGTAACATTTCCATTTGCATTTCCTGACCTGTCCAAACTGGCGGATAGTTAATTTGTGTCCCAAGTCTATTTATCCAAAGGATGGGATGCCTGAGTTAATTGTTTTTAGGAGGCATCTTTGCTGCTGCAAGAATGCTGTCACTCTTTGAAAGGAATAGTTGTTTCTTATACTGTAATACTGTACATTTAGCTAGCTACACTAAATGTATAAGAAAGTACGTTGGCTATTTTTATATGTTTACGTGAGCTCGACGGAGCTTCCGTTGTCCGCAGTTGATTAGCCACTCTGTGACCTGGCAGAGAGGCTTGTCATCCCGCCTCCTGCCAGGAGTGGCCCCCCATTGTGGACAATGGCGCAATAGGAAGGCTCCGCTGAGCTCGCATCATAACCCTTGTTATTTCCACCTGTGGGGGGATATTCAAATACGAATACCCCCATCTCTAGTTTATACAATTGCTATATTCTAATACATATGGTTTTATCTTAAAAGTTACAATGAGGAGGAATCTCCTCCTTAGTGTAGCTTTAACAGTAATGGACTTCTAAGCAAAGCGCTCTCAGAGGATCTTGCTGTCCAAAAGAATCTTTAACATAAGGTTGGATCAGACACAACGTAACACCAGTATTTTCAATAGGACTCTGAAACAGGTTTGGAATCAGTGTGGGTTTGTCGGGGCAGGTGTCATGTATGGACTTGTTTCTTCAGTAGTCAAACTGGGCTTTTGAGCTATTAGGAAGTTTCTACACATATTGACCGCACGATGATCACCCAGACTGGAGCTTACCAAAACATGTTTTGGCTTTGATTATTTCATTCTTAGATTTATTTGAACCCGTATGTTACTATTTCTATGGGCACCTTTCCTACCAGTTAGGTGAAATATGGCTGCAACCTTTCAAAATATTAAATACCAGAGCACAGGCAGTCTTTACTAAAGGCAGAAAGCATTCTTCAAGAACTAGTCTTTCAGAATGTTTTTCCATGTTTTCATTTCCTCTGCAAATGTTCCCTGTTAATGTTCCCTGTTAATCTAGCTGCCTAGAGTGGACTGGTAGTCCAGATAGGCGGGGTATAAATCAAATAAATAAATAAATAAATAAACCTGAGTGATATTAAGAGAGATGCCTAGCTCACTTGGAGATGTGATGTAGACTTTTAGGACATGGTGATAAGCTTTATATTTCTATCATATTGCATCTAAGCTACTTTCTCACTCTCATTTTTATAGGCACGGTTTCTCTTGTCTAAAGTGAATCCTTCCCAGACTCATAATAACCTTTATGCATGGGGACAGGTAGGTAAAGAAGTAACTACTCCTTTTCTGAAATGTTAATATTTCCTCTCTGTGCGTTCACAATTAATGTAAGATGTCAAACTTCATAAGGAGCCAGAGGTCACTTGTGGTATTCAAGAGGCCTGGGTTTTCCAAATACAAAATTGGAAAGGGGTAAGAAATGGATAAAATGAGAGTAAAAATTGCAGTGTGATTCAGCAGAGCTAGTGTAACCAGGTTCATTTAATTCTTCATCCATTCATTTCCCCCTCTAATTACATCTGCTCAGGCTTTGTGTTTAAATTGTAACTTCTTATTTCAGGAATCTGGTGCCCCAATCCTAACAGATGATGTTAGTTTGCAAGTATTCATGGACCACCTGAAGAAGCTGGCTGTGTCAAGTGCATCATAATTTTGATCTACTAAGAAATTCTCAAATGAGTGAACTAACTGAATCATCCTACTGCCAATAATCAGTTTGCCAAAAACTAATAAAATTTCTTCCCCGTTTTAAAATAGATTTCTAATGATTTCATATAACAAATACGTAAGGGCAATTTTGCATTTTAGATTTAACTTATTGACATTCCTTTTCTGTGTTTTTCCAGTTCTGTGTTTTCATTCATGCAATCATTCCATTGTGATTTATAGATTGTCCCATGCAGGGTTTTTTTCTGTACTTGTACTTAAGTGAAATAAAAATTGAGGAGGGTATTAAAGCTTGGTGTTATCCAACTTCTCATTTATGTGCTTGCGGGCATGAGGGAAAGAGTGAAATCTGTTTTCATGTTACAAATATTGTCAGGCTTGAATAAATGCAGTGAGGCAAGTGGTTCATTAATACAAACATATTAAAATGTAACTGAATAGAAGTTATAAACTGTTTTATGGAAGAAATTGCAACTACTCCAGGTTGTTGGATTTTTTTACTTTTTATTTTATTTATTTTATTTTTGCTTTGACAACCTGCAGTATTTTGCAAACTTTAAATCTTTGTGCAAATACTACAGATATTGGAGAAGAGGCCAGTTTCTGGAGGGAGAAAGGGGTGTCTCTTATTCATAACAATGTTAATTTAAACTTAACAAAATACAGGTGGTTGTAGAGGATTGAATGTATTGCAACAAAGGAGGTGTTTTATATTGAATAAGATCATAGCAGTACTCTCTGCTGCAAAGAGAAACCCCACTTTGCAAACTGACTGGGACCCCCTGTACTTTAGAGTTACCATTCACTCTGTTTATCCTTTCACCTGAAAATAGTAAGGAAACCCCTGTTGTCTTCAATCAGTTGGGATTCTGCCCTATCTCCTGGAAAGGACAGCAGAGTGCAGAGGAATTCCTGCTTGCAGGTGAGAGGGGGATCCCTGTCCACTCCATGTTCTCTGTGATGTGGAGAAATAGAGAGTCAACAAAACTTTTGAGAGTATCTGTGGGATGTTTTGGCTGCTGGCTGTGGCATCTCAGAGTTGGCTTTATCCACCCATGTTATTTGCAATGGTTTTCCCCCATACATGGGCAACCTTCTCCCGAGGGAAGGCAAGGAGAAAACCTGAAATAGAAGTGGTTGTAATCACAGGAGCCTTTATAACATTAGACATGGGGATTCAGCCCAGCACTCAAAACTACTTCTCTATTACTGATCTACCTTACTATTGACAAGACTTACTGGTAATGGATATCCAGGTTTCAGCAGGATTCTTTGCTGGCTGTATTTGGAGATACAGAGGGTTGAAATGGGAACCTTCTGGATAAAACACATATGACCTGTGATTGGTTCACAGCCCTTGCCTATCTGTGAACCAAATTCATGAGACACATGTAATAAGCCAAAATGTTGATGCAGGAATAGATTTCTAATTCATGTTTGTTTAATTTTATGGTGATTGTTTCTTTTTTTTCAGTATGGGGCCTTGCTCCACTTAGCCCTGGAAAACAAATACCTGTAATAAAAATATATTTATATACCGCTTCATCTCCACTCTACATCTTTCCTAGTCATTGCTTTGCCCTGGCTCTCCAGTAGGTCTCCGATTGTTTCGTAAGTCCACAGGTGGGCATAAAAAGGTTCCAGCCCCCTGAGGCCGGACTGTCTACTCACCTTCTGCTGTTGCTGCGGGCTCCGCACTTCCGTCCTATCACCCCGGAGCTTGCGGTTTGCGAGCCACTCTTTGCCCTGGCAGCAAGGCTCATCTTCCCGCCTCCTGCCAGGAGTGGCTCGTTATGCCCACCTGTGAGGGAACATTCATATTCGTATACGAATACCCTATCTTGATTCATAAGAATTCTGAACATGTGCATGCTCAGAATAGTTCCTACAAAATGCAAGGGAAACTGTGTTGGCCATAAGGCAAATTCTGAATTCCTTTTTGTGGTGATACTTTTACTTGGCCAGAATGGTACTGATTTGCTTTGCTGATCCACCTAAAAATATTTCCAGCCCTCTCTGTAGAGAGACTACTAAAAAGTCTGATCTCTTCCTATATACAACCTCACACTGGATAAAATGGCATTGAGTTACTAGGGTGTAATTGTGTTTTCAAAATGGACATTCAAAGTTTGTTTTGTTTCTTCCCAGAAAAATACTGAGCACTCAGGGTGAAATCTAATACCTTGTTCCAGGTAGACCGTAAATATATTTTCATGTTGTGGAGCCATGCGAGTGGCCATGGTGGTTCTGTTGATCTGGAGGTAGATTTTGTTGTCAAAGATGAAATAGTTGTTAGTATATTCAAATAGCCAGATGCTGGCTAATTGAATATACTATTAAAAGGAATTAATTCCTATTGGAAGGAATTACAAAACCTTATGAAAAACTTCTCTGAAAATGTATGTGAACAAATCCTGACTAACACATCACGAGAAGTTCAACCACCCACCTTCTATCTGCTAACAAAACTACACAAACCAGGGAACACCAGTAGGCCTACTGTATCAAGCAGTAATAAAGTCACTGTTCGGGTATCCAGATACAGTATGAGGACTTCATCCTCAAATCATATACCTGCAATGTACCTATGTAAGAGATACTACAAACTTTCTAAAGAAACTTTAGGCCACTCACAACCTCCCTGACAACACCATCCTAGCTAGGATGGATGTAGAATATCCTACAAAGAGATAGACTACAGGCTGTCAGAAACGCCATTCAAAACAAGGCCGAAGCACCCATAGTTAGCACTTTCTGCAATTTTGTACTACAGCTTCACAGATAAAGGCAAAGCGCTGAAAGTTTATAAAAAAGAACACAAAACTTATTTCACAAATGTGAAGCATGCAAGTTTCTTATGCTCTTTTTTTGACAGTCACTGAAAGAACAGAATTACATGAAAGAGCCTCTTTCATGTTTAGAGTCTTTCACTAAAATGTGAAATGACGATCCCTGGTTGCTTCCAATTTATAGTAACCCTATGAATGAGTTATTTCCAAAAGGTTTTGTTGTTAACAGCTCTGCTCAGCTCCTGTAACCTCAAGGTCATGACTTCCTTTATCTGATATTTCTTCTCCCCTTTTTCCTGCTGCCTTGAACATTACAAAACCATCCAAAGTTCAGCTGCCTTTTTACTAGACAGGGGTGTGAGAATGAGTAGGGTAAAGCATATGCTGGAAAGTTCTCGGAGAACTGGATTGTGATTGTTCAGCGGGTGTCATTACTGTTGCATGGAAAAAGGAGTACAGTATATGAATGGATTAATGCTTGTCCAAAATGGGCTTCATGTCTTTGGGTACCAGCCTGTTATTCTGTTGATGAGTTCTGTACTCTGAGTAAGTTCAGGAGTTTGTCTATTCTTATTTATTTATTTAGTAGATTTTTATCCCACTGTAAGTTCAGGAGTTTGTCTATTCTTTTTTATTTAGTACCTGCTAGTGGCCACAGGCTTCCAGGATTTAGTTGCAATTTGTCTAGGTCCCTGTGAAGCTAGAAATGTAGCTGTGGTTTCCTTTAGAGACAATCTCATGCGAAAATTCAAATCAATAATATTAGTGCCATTCAAGATGAAAAAACAAAATGGAAGTTAAGATAGAAAAGAAAATCAAGTAGTGACTGGAGGGAAGGCCTGCCTAAAGAGCCAGGTCTTAAGTTGACTCTTAAAAACACCCAACGAGGGTGTCTATTCTTATGATAAGGTCCCCTGGACAGCTTTCTTATTTTGGGGTGCTGGTTGTGGATTTCCTTCCCAAACGTCTCTGTATAATTGTCAATTGATTTCTTTTTTTAAAAAAATTTTTCTCTTGAATCTGTTTTCCCCCCTATGTCTTATATAAAATAAACAAAAATTCTCCACATTTGGCATGGTTATTGGAAGAGTGTGGGAAGAGGATGTCCTTGAAACCAACTTTGACTCCCTGTCACACTATAGAGTTAATTGGTACATTGCCTTTCCTTGCAGGGCTGGAATTTACTCTGAACAAAGGGAGTCACTGGACTTGCTGTTCTGTGGCAAGAGGTAGTACCTGCTAGTGGCCACGGGCTTCCAGGATTTAGCTGCAATTTGGCTAGGTCCCTGTAAAGCTAGAAATGTACCTGTGGTTTCCTTTAGAGACAATCTCATGCTTGATTGTCTTCTGTAGTTCTTTCATACATGTCATTCTGATTTCTTGCCTACAGTCCCCATTTGGACTGATGACTGAACTGAGATATCAAAAATCTTTTAACAATTTCACTTTATTGACAGCACTAAAATTAAGCGACTCTTCTGTGCTGGTTTATTAGCTCAGTGAACTGGGTATTTCAGCTTGCAAGTTCAATTCCCCATTGTGCCTTCCAGGAGAAGAGACAGCCTGTATAGTCTTGGGCAAGCTGCATAGTTCCAGAGTACCCACAGAAGAAGGGAATAGTAAACTTCTTCTGAGTATGCTATACATACGAGTAAAAGCCCTGGAAAGAGTCACCAAAGTTGTAATCAATTTGACAAAATTTTCTTGTTCTTTCTTCAGTAAACAAGAGTTTTATGTTCTCAATGTTCAACCACAATCCTGCTTTTGCACTTTCTTCTTTTGCCTTCATCAGGAATCATTCCAAGTTATTGATGCTTTCTGCCAGCAGTACTGTGTCTTCTACATATCTTAAGTTATTGATATTTCCTTCCAAGATTGATTTTTACTCTTCCTTTGTCAGGATCTAATCCAGCTTTTCATATGATATATTCTACACACAAACTGAACAGATAGGGAGATAAAATACACCTTACTCAAACATATTTGCCTATGCAAACCTTCTTTGTATTTTGTTTCAGTTATGTCCTCTTGTCCAAAGTATAGATTACACATCAGGACAATTGAATATGGAAGCACACTCATTCCTTTTAGAACATAGCCTTCTTGATCCACATAGTCAAAGTTTTTGCTGTAGCACAGACTGATTTTCTTCTGAAACTGTTTGGTATGCTCCAGTAGCCAATATATATTTGCAACAAGATCTCCATTGCTTCTTCCTTTTCAGAGTCTAGCTTGAACATTCATCAGGCACCTGTGAGCAACTACAGTATATTCTATTCTTTTTCTTCCATGTTTTCACAGCCATGGGAGAGTAGTCTGTCTAAAAAAAATCTCAAAGAAATCAGAGGAAAAAGTCTTTGCATAGCTGGGAAGGTAGGCAACCCATCAAAAGGGAGCAAAAGACCCCTAATAAAAAATTGATTAGGGTGACTCATTTCCTCCACCAGATGGCAGCATAAAAACATTTTTGTAATGCTGTTCTTAATTCCCTATAAGCATCAAGTAATTACCGTATTCTCATCTGTTTCTCCAAACAAACTGAACAAGTGTTATTTAGACTAAAGTGATGTTTTCTTATATGGCAACTGGCACAGCATAAATAGAACTGGCAAAGCCCCATATAATGTACTACCAAGCAGTTAATATTGTTAACTGTGAGTAGCGACTGTGAATGAACCACATGAATATGTACCTGTTAGAATTAATGCCTGCAATCAATTTATGCCAACACACATATAAAAAGAACTATCCCAAATAGAAAGGCTTAGTCTTAAACTGAAATAAATACAGGGTCATTCAAGAAGGATACAGAAGAAAAAGGCAATGGGAACAATCATTAAAAGGCTTTTAAGCTGGCTGGCTGAATTATATTGGGTGAGATCATTACGTTTCACAATTCCATTAATTTTGGTGCAGTTTTTGAAGTGATAGCTGTGTTAGTCTGTGCAAGCGTTTCAGATAAGAAACGAAACAAAAACAAAGACGAAAGCATGGCATAGAAGGTCACATTAAAGTGTAGCAGTTAGTTGCTAAGGTGCCACAGTGGTTTTGTCGTCTTCTTTATTTTTATCTTTTGCTTCTTGTCTGATATGCTTGCACAGTAATAACACTGCTAGCACTTCAAAAACTACAGCTATGAAAGGCACTGGATTCAGCTTAATAGAATGGAAATGGACCAACCTCATGAAAAGACTTCCACAGGTACAGACATCCTCTCCCTCACAAAATGCAAACAACAGGACCACGTTACCAATTGTGGTCCACGTACCCCAATGACTACAGAGAAAGATTATGCAACACTTCCCCCCCCCCAAAAATTACTGAACCACCTTATCAGCATCCTACACAGTGAGCAAAGGAAAATCTAGAAGGATATTGCAGATCTTGAACTACACATACAGAACCAGCCCTCTGCACTGGAATACTGCACAAGTATTCTACTCCCAAGAAAAAAACATATTTCCTAAGGAGAAAAAAAGAAAGGTAAAGGTAAAGGTTCCCCTTGACAATTTTTGTCCAGTTGTGTCCGACTCTAGGGAGCAGTGCTCATCCCTGTTTCCAAGCCATAGAGCCAGCTTTTTGTCTGAAGACAATCTTCCGTGGTCACATGGCCAGTGCGACTTAGACACGGAACGCTGTTACCTTCCCACCGAGGTGGTCCCTATTTATCTACTTGCATTTGCATGCTTTCAAACCGCTAGGTTGGCGGGAGCTGGGACAAGCGACGGGAGCTCACTCCGTCGCGTGGATT